TTCTTGTAAAGGAAAGGAGGATGGATCACCCCAGTGTACTCGGATCTCAACTGTAAAGGTCTGAATTAGTGGAACTAAGAAATGCAGTTTGTCATGCAAATAGGTTATTTAAAGCTAGAAAATATTTGTAAACTGTAAGAATATTATTTGAGATAACAATGAACTAGGGATACAAGTCTTACTAATAAACCCATAGCTGGAGGGAGAAGAGGTGGATTCATGCCTTTCCCAAGGGCATATGCGCGTAAGTGGCAATAATAAACGCAACAGGAACTGAAACTCGGCTCTCCGATTAACGATTCTGGGACATAATTTATTACATCACCCGCACATCCAATCTCACAACACCTGCGGTCAGTCCGTCCTGGGTAAGACGATAAACTACATCCGCGTCCTGGGCAAGACGATAAACTACGACCAACAGCAAGGCCTCTAATCAGGAGGTTTTGAGGAGTGTAAAACTATCTCTTAATTGCTGGTGTTTCCAGGTCCACCCTGACCCGGGGTGGTAGCACCTGTTAGGGTCCCAGCTATAGGCAAATAGTTAGCACCCAAACTTGTGTAAAAATAGTATTTAATACCAGAAATATTTTGTAATAAAAAAAAATATTACCAACAATATTTTTTGAAGGAACAATTATTATCAGCAATACTTTAAAAAAAAATACCAGCAATACAAACAGCTATGCATTTTTTTTGGAAAAATGAAAAATATTCCCATAAATAAATTTTTAAAGAAAAACATTACCAGTAATAAATTTTTAAAGAAAAAAAATTACCAACAATAAAAATTTTGTCGGCATTAAATAACCCATTGAGGTTGATATGCCGTAAAACAAAATAAACCAAACCAAACTGATTTCTTACAAAGAATACATATTCTATTCATACGAACCTATCCTAAAAATCTTGTTGGTATTAAATAACCCATTGAGGTGTTGATATGCCGTAAAACAAAATAAACCAAACCAAAATGATTTCTTACAAAGAATACATATTCTATTCATACGAATATATTCTAAAAATCTTGTCGGCATTAAATAACCCATTGAGGTTGATATGTCGTAAAACAAACCAAACCAAAGCGGTCACCCATTTAGGCACAGACCAAGCTCAACATTACTTAACTTCGGTGATCGTACGGCAACCGGTGTTTCAATGTGATATAGCTGTAAGCCAATAATGATAAAATAGTGGCAGGCTTGAGACCTTTTCCCTGTGAGAAAAGGGTTGTAGGATAGAAAAATAGTTCAACACTGAACACCCATAAGGCCGTGTAGATGGTTTTAAACAGTGTCTAAGCTGGAAAGAGAGAATTGGACAATGCCTACCGAGATATGTCAGCAATATTCCTTGCAAGTCTATGAAAATGGATTGCATAGAGCGGACCAGGAGATATGGTGAAGAAAAAAAAAAAAGACTGGAAGCAATGCTCCCCAAATACAAGGCCTAATAGCCACTCAATGCAGAGCGTTACTGTGTGGAGTTATATTAGTGTAAGGAAAGACAAGCTTTATGAGTACAGAAGTGAAGTAGACTCAAGAAGGAACCGGAAACCCAACCCTGAACAAGGAACTAGGGATAAACCGCTATTCCTATTCGAAAAACCGGGGAGGAGTATGAACCGGGCGTTAGTTGCATCTACTTACTCCTATTGGTAAAGGAGAGAGAAAAAAAGTAAAATAAAATAAATAATTAGTGAATAAAATTTCAGAGTTCAGGCGCAGACATCAGGAGTACAGAGCTGAAGTAGACTTTAGAAGGAACCGGAGACCCAATCCTAAACAGGAAATAAATAAATAAATAGGGAATAACATTTCAGAGTTCAGTCGCAGATGCTAGAAGACCAGTGTGGATGCAGACCCCAGAAGGAATCTAAAACCTCAAGCGTGACATGGGAAATAGATAGCAAATATAAGATTACGTCGATTAGATCCGAATTTAGAGTAGAGGTAGGTTTGGAAATGGCAGGATTATATTATCTATTAAGTTTTAACTTAGCATTAATTCAAATATCCTCTATCAAAATAAAATTGAGCAGGGAATTAACATTATTTGAAATATGGCGATATATATATATATATATATATATATATATATATATATATATATATATATATATATATATATTTATTTAGGCAGCAATTTTTCATTAATGCATGTTTCATTAAATAATAAGGTCAAGTTTAACATGAAAACAATAAACAAAAATTTAAAAAATTGAAAAATTTTTGAATCTATATACATAAAACAGTTGAAACCTAACCTGAACAAAATAAACTATGAAATCTCCACAAATATTCTTAAATGCCTATAATTGATAACAGAAGCCATTGGTTTATACCAACGGCTTCCCATACTTAATACTTCTCGACCAACCATTCAAATAATGAATACACTTAAATAATTAAAATCACTTAAAAGAAGATTGATCGATTATTTTTTATGGCTTGTCAACATTTTGTGGGTTATTAAAAGCTGTACGTGTGTGTGTGTGTTTTCTGTTTATGCATTATTTTAATAGATACAATTCATTTAAGTAAATGCTCTGTTTTTTAAATAAATAGTATTAATTACATTTACCTGCTTGAATGTTCAAGATATTTCGTAGAAAATATGTGCTTCTCCGACAGAAATCCAACCTGTAACCCGAATGGGAAGCAACGTTTGATCTGATGTGCTGTTAACCATTCAGTCGCAAAGAAGCGTCTGCTTAGAAAAGTCCGAATTACTGTTTATAAACAACAAATCTTCGATGATCTATTCCGAACGATCATATTTGCTCACGAAACGTACCTTAACGTAAACATTGACAACATATCTAATGGATTAACTCCGACAATTATTTAATATATATATATATATATATATATATATGTGTGTGTGTGTGTGTGTGTGAAGAAATATTTAAGGTATGTTATATTTATGGGATAAAGTGCTCAATATCAGTGATAGAGGGTATGTAAATATAAAAGACTTTTTTCATGCTGAACGCATGTGGCCTGATGATTGAGTTTAGCATGAAAAAGTCTGTCACCTCTGAGTGTTGACTTCAATGTTTACTTTTATACATTCATACATCTATCTATGTATCCCCTCTCTCTCTCTCTCTCTCTCTATATATATATATATATATATATATATATATATATATAGAAATCTTTGTAAATTTGGTATATATATATATATATATATATATATATATATATATATATTAAAGACATTTTTATGTTTAACATTCTTTTTGTTCCTCTCTGTTCAGAGGCAGAGAGGTCGACTAGATTCGGTATCTAGCCACCCCCCACGAGGGTTGCATGTGGCACAATGCCGAGTTTAAAAAAATAATAAGTAAAATCAGGTGTGCGTATTATGCACCGATATTAAAAAAATTGCCGAAAATAAAATAAGAATTATCATAAAACTAAATTAGAATAATATTATTCTATGTTTAAAACCATTTTTTTTTTAAAATAAGAGTAGGAAACGCTGGCCGTAATGAAATTTTGGAGATACAATTTATAAGGTTTGATTAGCAAACAAGGGGTGCATATTATGCATGAGTAGAAGCCTTTTCCCACCCTTTCAGCACAATTTTAGGGGTGCGTATTATGGATGAAGGCGTATTATACATGGGGATTTACGGTAACTGCTACTTCCTGCTTCCTCTAACTTTACAGATGTGAACTTCATTCCACGACAGGATTGAAAAAGACAGACGACCACTTTCGTCTTCTGCCGAAATAGCCTATTCCCCATATAACTAAAAAGGATTTGTTTGATTATATATATATATATATATATATATATATATATATATATATATATATATATATATATATATATATATAATCATTCATACAAAAACAGATATAGAAGTTAATGATATAAATGGCGAGAATATATCTGTTTTGTATGAATGATTCATGTAATGTAAATTGAACTGCACCACATACTCGATATTATATATATATATATATATATATATATATATATAAAAAATTAATAAAATATAAATATATGTATAAAAATATATATATATATATATATATATATATATATATATATATATATATATATATAATTTTTTACCGTTGTTTTCCTCACAGTGTTTTGTCTATTGCGTCATTCGCCTACCTTCTCCTCTGAGTCTCTGAACATGTTTCTAATGTCTGTAAACATGGAAGTTCGTGCCTGCAATAAAATGTATTGTCAAAAAGACGGTGTCTCCCATGACACTGTTTTTTGTGTTTTTTTTTAACTAACTTTACTCTGTTCCTTGTTTTAAAGATAAATTATTGTTTATTGTTTTTAAATAAATACTGTTTGTTATTTTTGTCGTTAATTCTCAGTAACAAAGAAAATGTCTAATCATATGTTTAGTTTTTTTTTAAATTCTAATCATCGCTTACGAAAACATTGCCAAAGATGAAGTTAGTTTCAAAAGCAGTGCCAGGGGAATAACCGTCCTTTTGACAACCCGACTTGTGGCCATGTTTGCCGTAACGTTTCTGAACTGGGTGAATTTCGGCAGCATTTTTTTTATGTAGAAAAGTTTGGTTAAATACCAATGAAAGTTCTGTCTATATTTCTGAGATGAGGTATGGTAATTATTGACACAATTTACACTGCTCTTATCTTCATTCCCATATTCACGACGTTTCGACCGTTGTACGCTTCGGCCTTCTTCAGGTGACTGAAATTTCGAACTGAATCCAAAATAGCGGTTGATTCCATAAAAGGATTCATCCGCAGGTCTTGTTTTAATCCAGTCGGGTGTCTAGTTGGGGATGTAAAAAAAAAAAAAAATCCTGGCTTGGCGTCCAAATTCTTTAGTCTTCTTTAAGCTATCCAAGTAAGAGAAGGAAAACTCTGATATGGCACTTGACCGGGGCTTCTCTTAGGGATACGTGCTTTTTTTGCTCAGAGAATGTTACCGACCCAGTGCAAGGTGCTCATCTACTTTAAAAAAACATGCACATGCTTTGCTTGATATTGTAAGCTTACGGCCATATCACGTTGAAACACCGGTTCACGTATAATCAATGAAGTTAAGCAACGTCAAGCCTTGTCAGTACTAAGATAGATGATCGCTTGTGAACATCAGGTGCCGTATCTGCTGGTGGTACAGCGGATAACGGACCCTAGTTCCAGTTCCGGTCGGGGTTGTTATGTTCACTCACGCCTCCTTCTACTACATCTTCTTCCCCCTAGCTATGGATTAATTAGTAGGACTTGTATCAGTAAATCATTATTATCTCCCAAAAATCCTTACAATCTAAAAATATTTTCTGGCTTCAGATAACCTGCAAAAGGTAGATAAACCGTAAAAAACAAATTAATGAATTGATATCGCAAGATGATTGCGTGTAATGCGAGACAATGTCATGTTACCGCCATACTCAAAAACAAGCTCGCAGTTATCATGTCCATACATATAAAATGAGGATTCACTACAAATTGATTCATTTATTTTATCTCTTTCAATCCTCCATTTTTTATGAATCTCTAGGCACTACTTAACTATACGGGTCCAATAGTAGACTATAGGAAAAGGCCCAAGAGGCACTTGAGGTAGAGGATTACATATTAAGAAGCACTGTTTATAGCGATATGTAGCGAAGACAACAGTTGACTGTAGACTTGAACAGATTAAGATTATAGTGATCGGGGAAGCATCCTCTTGGGAGTCGGTTCCACAACTCAGCGGTTTGTGTGAAGATGATGCTCGAGTGGATCACGTCTTAAGTGCTGTTGTTCCAAAGTTCACCCTGACCAGGGGTAGTGGCACCTGTTAGGGTCTCAGCTATGGATTAATAATGACCCCTCCCCCAACAAAACAGAATGAAATTATAAAAATACATTTTTTTATAGTAAAAATACCAGCAATACATTTTTATAGAAAATAGGACTAAGAATACATATTTAGAGTAAAATGACGAGCAATATATTTTTAAAGTTAAAATAATCAGCAATATATTTTATGTATTTCAACGAACTGATTTGCGGTTTTTCAGGGTTCGAAAATCTCTTTTAAAACCATTTGCCCGTTCTGGGTATGACGATGAACTACATCCGGCAGCAAGGCCTCTGATCAGGAGGTTTTGAGGAACGTAGAACCACTTCTTAATTGCTAGTGTTACCAGGTGCCCCCTGACCCGTGTGGTAGCACCTGTTAGGGTCCCAGCTGTGGACAAATAGTTAACCCCCAAACTGGGGTGAAAGTACTATGATGGTGTAAAAAGAAGTTTTAATATCAGCAATACATTTTTGGAGAAAATTACCAGCATTATATTGTTACCAGCATTATATTGTTACTAGCAGTACATTTTTGAAGGGAGAATTACTAGCAATACATTTTGGGAAAAGAGTTATAACCAGCAATGAAAATCTTGTTGGCATTAAATAACCCATTGAGATGTTGATATGCCGTAAAACAAAACAAATCAAATCAAACTAAAGCCATTTGCATTCTGTGGTTGATATTTTCACACTTCTCGTTTCGCGGTCATATGTTGGTATTTGATCACCACCAGCAGGGTCACTTGAGTGAAGGAGTTTGATACTGGATAAACCCGAAACACCTAAGAATCCCAAGGCCTTATTCCAAGGCCTTAGTCCCAAGACTGATGATGTGGCTAGGGTTAGCATACACATTTATTTCTAAATTTATCTGAAAATACACAATTGCGTTCAAAATATATTTAGTTGAAGTCATAAAACTGTGTTCCGCTTATTTAGATTTCGGCCTCAAATGACCCATAGTGGTGTTGATATACCGCCAAACAAAAGCAACAAAACAAACTCTTTCATAACGTTAATCCATATAATATTCAACAATTTCTTAAATCAAACTGTATTCCAAAATATAACTTCAACAATACTACAACATAAAACACATATCACTGCCTCTAGTAATTATGTCTGTACACACATGTATATGCACAAAAGCTGAGTATTATCTACCATGTATTCAACTGTGAAAGCAGAATAACATATGTCATAAAACACACATATATCACCGCCTCTAGTAATTATGTCTGCACACACACATGTATATGCACAAAAGCTGAGTATCATCTACCATGTATTCAACTGTGATAGCAGAATAACATATGTCATAAAACACACATATATCACCGCCTCTAGTAATTATGTCTGTACACACATGTATATGCACAAAAGCTGAGTATCATCTACCATGTATTCAACTGTGAAAGCAGAATAACATATATCATAAAACACACATATATCACCGCCTCTAGTAATTATGTCTGCACACACACATGTATATGCACAAAAGCTGAGTATCATCTACCATGTATTCAACTGTGAAAGCAGAATAACATATATTACTTCAAAACTCCCAAGAAAATTAAATTTCGACACTAAATGACCCACAGGAGTTGATATGTCATTAAACATATCAATCAAAGTTTAGCCTAGATGAGGCACAAGGCTGAAGCTATGGAGCACCAAGAATTGAACTCACTACTCAGTCGTAATTAATCTAGCGAGATACGATGGCTAACCATTACACCAAGGCGAAGTGCTCCAAATCCACTGACAAAACCTACGGATTCATTTCTTCTTAGTCAATAAAAACTGAAAATTCTTGCTTTAACATATTTGCTTTGCTATTGTCTTATATATACTAGCCGAATTACTCGCACCTTGCTGCACGTCACACATTTATTTTTTGTCAGGAAATAATTGATTTTAAATCATAGTTATATTTTGTGGAGGAAAAATGATGCATTTCAATATTACTCAATGATCTTGCCGCTGTGACCTTCATCTTCTGGCTTTCTCCTTCTATATTTTGGATAGGAGTTATTCCCTTGTTCAAATTTAAATGAAAGGGAAAAAAAATTCAGTTGGAGGTTTGTGCCATCACCCCCACCCCCACTCACGATGCCCTTTCATCAGAATGAAATATACTTTTCCAAGTACCCTAGGAGTCATTCCTTTGTTCAAATTTAATTTATATATCAAAGGGAAAAAATCAGAGGATATGCTTTGATTAAAATGATCTTGCCGATATGACCTCCATCTAGCTTTCTCCTATATTTTAGATAGGAGTCATTCCCTTGTTCAAATTTAAATTTAATTAAAATGAAATGAAAAAAAAATCATTGGTGGGGGGGGCAAAAACAGCTTGATCTGACCCTTTTGATATGTATTTGATGCAATACTTGATTGAATGAATTGATGAGCATATTTCAACATTGAAATGACAGTTGAATTGCCACAACAAATATTTATTGTAAGGCACTACCTACTGATTGGTGATTTCTTGCTCGACTTGATGTCCATATTTTCTCATTTTGATCTTGCCAATATGACCTCCATCTTCTGGTTTTCTCCTACATTTTGGATAAGAGTCATTCCCTTGTTCAAATTTAAATTTACTTTAAATCAAAGGGAAAAAATTAGTAGGAGTTTGTGACTCCTGGGACCCCCTTTGATCCAAATTAAATATACTTTTTCCAAGTACCCTGGGTGATGTAGTTTCTGAATATATATATATATATATATATATATATATATATATATATATATATATATATATATGTGTTATGAAGAAGTTCGGTACCAAACAGACAGACAGACAGACAGACAGACAGACAGACAGACAGAAGCTACAACTTTATATAGAAAGATATATGAAGCCCTTGCTTCAGCATATGTTATGGTTAGCGGCTTTGTCTGGTGGTTTGTTTTTAGTTTGTTTTTACGGTATATCAACCTGAATGGATTAATTATGCCGACAAAAATGTTATTGCTGGTAATATTTTTTTTTCAAAGATGTATTTTGGTAATATGGTAATATTTTTTCAAAAATGTACTGCTGATAATAATTTTTCAAAAAAAGTATTGCTGATATTAAAACCTATTTTTATACTTTCATAGTGTTTTGAACCATTTTGGGGCGGTTAAATTTTTGTCCAAAGTGGGACCCTGACAGGCGCTACCACCCCGGGTCAGGAAGGACTTGGGAACAGCAGCAATTAAGAGATGGTTTCACGCTTCTCAAAACTTTCTGATCAAAGACCTTGCTGCCGGATATAGTTTATCGTCATACCCAGGACGCTTTGTCTGGTGGATCAATAGTAGTGAGTAGTGAGTTCGACGCTTATTATGTAGCTAGTGCCCAAACTAATCTAAGCTTAAGATAAAATAGTTCTGACCATACATTAGGATATTGTGCTATACTGATTAATTTGTTTTTACGGTTTATCAACCCTCTGTCGGTTATTTTAAACTGAAACAAATTTGAGAATTTTAGAATATTTTTGCGAACAAATACTGCATTAACAATTTTATTAGGAGATAACACTGATTTTTTCCAAATACAAGCCCTACTATTTAACCTATAGCTGGGGAAATATACCGTTTTAAGTTTGTTTTTTTTTTGCACGTAAGTAAATGTAACGAACTCAACATGATATTCTGCTGTATATAAGCTATATTGACCATATAATAATTTTGCATCGGGTCGCCTGTACTAATACGGAGCTAAGTTGTAAATACAAGACGGAAATGACCATTCACTTTAGCGTCACATATTCTGATGCGGTGTAGCAAATGCCAAGGAGATACGACCGTGATAACAAGGATTAAAGATGTATTTATTCGCTGCTTTTTCCTACGTCAAGAAACAGAATGCGATGACCGGTGAAAGCTGAATTCTTTCTCTTCTGCGAGAAGCGAGACAGGCAAGGAGGCTGCCTTGTGCCAAACAAGCGTAAAATTTAGAACATTTCTATACAATTTCTTCACTTATTCTGTTTCTTTCCATCTGCTTCACTTGGCGATTGATTTATTTTTTCCCTCTGTCGACTAACAACGATTTGCGTTCGTAGCTCAGTGAAGTCATTCGATGAGAATCAATTGATTCCTTTGCGCTTACCTTTTGTTTTTTAAGTTGCTATTATTTATTCATTACTTTATCTAATTCATTCTTTTTTTCTTCACATTAAACATTTTTCACTGTCTGATTTTTCGCACAAGATCTTTCTTCTCAGTCCCCTTTCTTTCTTTCTTTTTCTTTCTTTCTTTCTTTCTTTCTTTCTTTCTTTCTTTCTTTAAATTGCCTCTTTCTTTCTTATTAA